TGTGTCTTGATGGAACATGACTTTGTATGGAGGGAAGGAGTAATTTATCTTGTCTAAGACTTTCGGAGTTAAAATAGAAATAAATTGGCAAAACTAAAATGAACCCTCCTCTCCCCAGCAAAATTTCCCTGACCAAACAAGTTCTTAGGATCCTTACCTGAGAATTCATAACATATACATCTGCTGCAGCATACAGAGAGGCAACCCGAGTAGTTGCTGGAGTCCACAGAACAGAGCTTGACAAGTTCCTGTGCTGAGAAAGAAAGCTGAGAAGGGCTCTAACATAGGGTACCTTATTGCTCTTGGAGCCCACAGAACCAATAAGTATCTTAAGTTTCTGTTGCTTATAATCAAGAAGTGTTCTTTTAAAATGTTTTTGATTGTTCATTTCAAGATTATTGCGATGAAGAAGTCCTTGTTCAATTATCAACTGTGCTGATTCAAGAAGTAGCAATTGACCTTTTCCAGGATTTACACTACTCAAGGACATAACAAGCATATCATTATCTGATAATCCCATTTCATTTCGGACATAATTTCTCAATAGCTTTCGTTTTTCTAGCATGTTCTTGGCGGTGAAGAGAGGACTATTCAGGGAGCAAGGAATGCCTGCTGGGAAAGCAAGTTCATCACTGACCGATAGTGGGACAAGTGATGGCTGAGATTTTAATTTTATGTGTTCTTCCTCACACCAGGCTAGCCATTGTGTTGACTGTAAATCAGACAGAAAGATAAGTTTCTTCACACGGTTGAGCACTAGTTTTGACCGGTCAAAGTATTCCCTTCTGTTCTCCATGATCCACCAAGCAATTTGATTTTCGCCAAGAACAGTTCGTGATGCATAGCGTTCTGAAAAGCGTAAATGCGTAATATCATCAGAAATTTTCCATATAGAATAACATGTAAACCAAAATAGAAAATCACACAGAAACCAAGTTTTGATCAATATGGCTAAAAGGCGGGTTTCACTTTCAGTAGAGCAAGTACACTGAAGGGAAAATAAAAGATAGGCTTAAACTCAATAAATATATTTTACATATTTTCTCATACTCATTTTATTATTTATGTGTATTATATAAAGACTATGAAGTCTAAATATATGCAAAGTTGAACACAAAAACTAATCATTTCTTTTTCCTTTGCATTTTCCAATGTAAATGCAAACATAAGAGAATAATGTTTCAAAGCATTTCCCCCCTTTCCCTAGCACTTACCAGAATCCAAACATACAGTAGCGGATATAAGATAATCAAAATTCATCTTGGTCTGAAAGCCATATCTCCATATCACAGGATTGAAGCATACAAGTACCTTCTGCAAAGTTAGGAATTCACCTAGATGCAACCCTTTTCTATAAGTTATAGAGTAGTCATTATTGGTAGTGAAAATGCCCCTCAAAACATATTTCAGTTGTAAGTCACTTAAAAAAGGATCAGTGAGAGAAACCCTCTCTTGTGCTACTTCTATGCCTCCATACACTAAGGACATCCTTAGTGTACATCTGACCCCCCCTTACCCCACCATAGGTGGGAGCCTTTGGGGTAATGAAGAAGACGAAGAAGAAGAAGATGAAGATTGATATTAATTAGTGATATATCATAAAACATAGTATTTCATTAGTTCAATAAAGTTCAAGTATTTCTTTATAATTTATCACTTTCACAATTTCATTTCCCTTCCAAGTTCCAACCAACTAATGTATGAGTAGATTCATCATATACATCACCCCACACCTTCCTTTCGCTCAGAAATCCCCCGAGAATACAAGGGGTAATAATGAAACATATGAAGACAGATGCAAAAATGAAATCACAAATAACTAAAACTACAAGTATTTGGATAGAAAGAACAAATGAAAAAAGGACACCCTGAATGCAAAAATAGAAGCACTACTGCACTCATAGCTAGACTGCTAGAGAGTAATTAAATTACGTTCTCGACAAAAAAAAATGATTCCAGATTATTATGGCGTAATACTTCAACATGTGGAGATAAATGCAAAATTGCTACGTATTGCAGTTTATTTGATTTTATTAATTGGAGTAGCTATATTTAGAGCATTTCGTGAACAAACAATATATTTAAAAGTCACTTACCAATCTATGATGCACAATTTATCAACTATATATTCTTTACAATTTATCACTTTCACAATTTCATTTCCCTTCCAACCAACTAATGTATGAGTACATTGACTAGATTCATCATATACATCACCCCACCCCTTCCTTTCGCTCAGAAATCCCCCGAGAATACAAGGAGTAATAATGAAACATATGAAGACAGATGCAAAAATGAAATCACAAATAACTAAAACTACAAGTATTTGGATAGAAAGAACAAATGAAAAAAGGACACCCTAAATGCTAAAATGGAAGCACTACTGCACTCATAGCTAGACTGCTAGAGAGTAATTAAATTACGTTCTCAACAAAAAAAAAATTGATTCCAGATTATCATGGCGTAATACTTCAACATGTGGAGATAAATGCAAAATTGCTACGTATTGCAGTTTATTTGATTTTATTAATTGGAGTAAATATATTTAGAGCATTTCGTAAACAAACAATATATTTAAAAGTCACTTACCAATCCATGATGCACAGACAGCAGAACCTGCAATTATAAGATCTGCCTTCATTGCTATCTTGAAGCCTATGTCACTCTTATCATCAAGAACTTTGATCCTTTTTCTAGCTAGCGAAGGCATCAAACCCCCGCTTTTGCTAAGAGGCACAACATAAACTGTGGCCCCACAGCTTAAGAGTTCTGTTGCCAATTCCAACATGGCAAGGGGAGCTCCAGTCATAGAAAGCTCATGTAATATCAACACAAACTTTCTAGACCAAACGAGGCGTGCAAACTGACCCTTCCTGTCACAGGTGCCTGACCTATTTTCCGGGCTCCACTCCAGTATGACATCCTCTATTGATCTAAAAGGGCCCACAAACAATCCATAGGTTGTATTTTTTCTTGGCATTTCCTCTTCGTGCACGTCAATTTTATTATCCACCTGTTTTCTGTGCTTCTTATGTGAAGCCTGCTTTGATTTCTTACCCTTCTTTGGAATTGCATTTCTATCAGATGTTGAAGAATTACTAATATTGCCTTTGGTTGATAAAGTCACCCCCAAATCCTTTGAGTTGGACTGGTTACCCTCAATCTCAACCCTATCCTCTACTAAAGAGGAATCTCCATTTGCAATCAGTGAAGAATCTATAGAGGATGAGTTACCATCGTAACCGCCAAATATACCATCCTTGTTATCCCCGTGAGCCCACCTTGACTGGATAAAAAATCCACCATATGTCCAGAGGGTAATTAAGAGCAACCAAAGAACAATTTTGTTGCTTTTGAAACACTGGGAATTAATAAGTCCACTAATCCTACCACCTTCTTTGTGTGGGGTACGCCCAGAGCTCAGCCTCTTAAAGGAAGGGGAACCCCTGGGCGTTGATCTACCAGACAATGTGGATTTTAGAATACAGTTACCTGTCTTCAAGTTGGATAGTCTCAGTGCACTCCCATCCTCCATTAATATTCTAAAACTCCCAAATGCCAAAATAGGAACTCACCATATATCCGTACCTGACAATTTTAGGAATCGTTCAATTAGCAATTTAGCAGACAAATGCATCAAACAATTCATCTAATATCAATTCCACGCAAATAAAATATAAATTATAAAAATTTGAAAACGAATTCAACAACCAAAACGAAAAAAGTAAGAACTAAGCGGAAACTTTGAGAAAGGAACGGTGATGTATTTCAGTCAAAATTTGCGTCGTGTCACACCTCATTATCTGGTACCACTTTTATTGCTCTCCTTACATTTTACACCGTGGAACATCAAGGGAAAGAGAAGAAGCTTAATATATCAACAACATCAAGAAGAAGTGAAGAACTTTCGAGTAGTTCAGCAATCAAATAGCCGGCATAAATATATACAGAAAACTAAATGATTTTGTAAACCTAAGTTTATAATGGTAAAAACTGGAGTGAATAAGAACCTAAAACTCACAACAAGGATCAAATCCTTGAGCTAAGAATAAGATTTAGCACGGCACGGAGCAGCTGCCACGGCTGAAAGCAATCCATAAAATTCAGAAACCAATCTATATCCGAGGCTAGACCGAGACTATATAACTCCTAGATCAATGGAAGCAATATACTCCGTAATAACTAGTAACTAGAAAGTGTGAGTTCAGTACATTTGAACTTGTATATGATCAGTAAAGAGTTCTTGTATATGAGAAATTGAGAACATTGAGAATTGCTCCTGAATTATAATGAGAAAATGACATATACTCAACTTTTACTTTTGCTTTAATATTTGTTACCCTCGTGGGTAGAGGAAGGAGGAGAATGAATAGTTAGCATACCTAAATGAGGGCTCCCTCCCAATGGCACATCCAACTTTCTATTTTTTAAGAAAAGGGTCAAATAAGACCATGTATTAATAAAAAAAAAAGTCAAATAAGTCTTTATTTAGGAGGTTCTGTCCGGCCGTCGCTATTTGGAGTGGTTCCCGGTGGAATTTTTTGATGAATTTTTTTGAGCATCTTATTCATTGAGTCTAGTTTACTCATACCAAAATTTAGCTAACAATTCAATTTGGAAGACATTCTAATGAATTCTTGAAGATAACTGTGGTTTTAACAGCTCTGTTGTCTTCAAGAATTCATTTAAATGCCTTACTGATTGAATTTTTAGCCAAAATTTGTTATGCGTAAACTAGACTGAATGAATAAGATGCTCAAAAACTTTCATCAAAAAATTCAACTGGGAACCACCCCAAATGGCGATGGCCGGACAGAACCTCCTAAATAAGGGCTTATTTGACCTTTTTTTGTTAATACATGGGCTCATTTGCCCCTTTTCCCATTTTTTTTGAAAAACGAAACATTTTATTCCAATAAAAAGAGATGGCTCGACCCATTGGGCCATTACACCTTGAGAGAGATATAAAGAAAGCTACGGAGTATAATACAATACTCCCCGTCCCTAATAACTTTGTCAAGTTTGAACGGTACGGGAAATAATAAAGTAAAAACTGTGCGCTTGAGGTTTGTGCAGAGGAGAGAGAATTAACTGGAACGACAAATTTTTTACTTAAATGGGAAAGATGCAATGTTAATGGGACATCCAAAAAAGGAAAGTTGGCAAAGTTATAAGAACGGATGGAGTATTTAACTAAAAAACAGGAGAGTAAAGTCAAGACCGAGTGAGCCTTGTAGAATAAAGCATTGTGTGTCCAAAATTCCCTGGCCCTAGCTGATGCAAAAACATAATGCTCCAACCGGCATTATGCTCCAAACATGATGCGAAAATTGTCATTAGGGTTAGAGTAGCGGATAGGCTTAGTGATAGAGAGAGTCAATTCCTTCAGGTGTAACTGGTGTGGATGAGAGACGACCCTTTCCTACGGCTCAACCGGAACAGAGAAGCGTCGTTTTTGTCCTCCAAGTAAGCTTTTTTTACTTTCGCAGGAAGATCGGCCACAGTGAACGAGGACGTCTCCGTTATGGACGAATGAAGACCTGATTGGGCGAGGTGATGGGCTACGAAATTGGCCTCGCGCGGGCGGAATATGACTGAGATGTTGTGGTTCCTTCTGAAGCTGTTGATTCGTCCAATACTTTGCTCCAAATAGCCAGGTATAGTAGTCGTTCCTATGATCATCTTTACTCCTATTTCCGAATCTGTCTGTGCCTGGAAGTTGTTGTAACTGTTTTGTGTCATGTTTTTTAATGGAGGAATATAAAGCTTGAATTTCGGCTTGTAAGGGATTCATCACTGGCACAGGGAAAGTTATGGCCCGAAGAAGATTTCCATTGGTGTCTCTAAGTATCGCCCCTTCAACCGCTTTGGTTCCATCAAAGGAAGTGTAAGGAATAAATTGTATTTAGATTTTGATGATGCTAGATTTAGTAGACTTTATAACATAACCCCTTTAGAAAATTGTATTAGAAATTTCCATATGTAAGCATTAGAGTAATCGACTGGACAGAAGACCTTCAGGCCCTCTGTGTGACTTCTACTGAACAGAAGACCTCCAGGCCCTCTGTTGGACTTCTACTGGACAGAAATGATCGAGGCTCTCTGAGATTGCCCCTCTGTGTAAAGCAACAGATAGCCTCACACTTAGAGAATTTCGCTGCTACCTAAGCCAGTTAAACTAACGGGATATACCCTAACGGCTAGGAGCCTCTCAACGAGAAAGTTACAGTAAGCGCATTAAGTGCCCATTTAATGTGCTTCACACGTTGAGATATTTAAAGCTGATGATTGACCAAGGATCCAAAAAGAATATCTTTATGCGCCTAAAAATAGCAAGCCACCTGCATTTGGGACCAACCGGTCAAATCTACAGTACGAGCATTTAATGAAGCTGTCTCTACACTCCCACGGGAAAACAACTCTCAGTATATAAGATACACTTTGAAGAACTACTCGAACAACTTTTGCTCACTACAATATTCAAGCTCTCTTGAAATCTGAACTCCATCTCCCTCAACAAGGAAAGCTTACGTTGGAAAAGATATTTTTTCCACATCTACCATATCCAACAAGAGCAAAGTTCCAGTTCTTCAACACTTCAAAAGCCTCATCTACATATCTTTTGTAACGAATCCACTTTGGAGAAATCTGTCTTTTAATAAAACAATCTTCTTGCAAAAGAAGGGCGTCCAAAGTAACTGGAGTAATGAAATGGGGATACTTCAAGGAAACTCAGTGAAAGGACCAGTCATACGGAAGCAAGGGAGTGCATCCTAGGTGACATCTACACATGAAGAAGACGTGGAGAGCTTCTTAAGTGCTAGGGCTAAGGCATTATAATTGTGACTTTTACAAGCTTAGTGGAACAGTGGACTAGAGGAACGAGTTGTTCCTTGAACCACTATAAAAATCCTCTGTGTCATTTACTTACTGCACTTTTAATTCTTGCATTCATCTTTAAACTGCTTAACTCCAAAAGACCCGGTCTCTGTGCTCAACAGAACAAGTCTTAAGAGTTAACAGAAGGCCTATTGCCTTTACACCTCGGTGAGGCTAACCGGATAGAACCCCTAACAAGAGATCATCCGCTGCCAGTCTGTTCTTCAACAGAACAAGCTATTATGTTAATCTTAGTACTTAGCTTGAAATAGTTAAAAACCATAACAGTTTATTCACCCCCCTCTAGACTGTTCCTTGTATATCCGGGACCAACAAGTGGTATCAGAGCCTCCTTGTTCTTGTAATCTCTTAGGTTACCTACTGAACAAAGACCTTGTTCTTAGCCTATTTATTTGCTAATATGGATAACTCTCTTGCCAAACATCTCATGTTTTCAGATCAGAATTATGATGACTAGAAAATACGAATGAAGGCACACATATATGCCCTTCATGATGAAATGTGGGAAGTCTTGGAAAATGGCCCTTCAAAAGAGGGTGAACATACATGACCCCATCCTACTTGCCTGCTATGTGGCAAGACAATTCTTAACTATTTTGCAATTTTTTTTAACTTTTTCATTTTTAATCCAATTATTTTTAAAAACAATGACAATTTTTTTTTACATTTTTACAGTCTTTAATTTGTACATGTCAAAAAACTTAAAAAATCCACCTAAAATAGATATTAAAAAAAAAAATTCCAACTTTTTATACATAATATTGATATCATTCGAAAGAGACTAAAAACTTATTAAATCTAATATTTCTTTATAAAGTTTGGATCATTGAAAGAGTTAAAACAATTTAAAGAAAAAATGAAAAGATGGTAATTTAAAGAAAATAATTGAATAAAAGGTCAGTTTATCATGAAGTTTATATATCCAAGAAACGTGTGCATTCATTATCACATACACTCGTTTGTTAACTAAAAATATGGAGCATTTTTCTCAATCTGCCCCACTTTAGGGTTTAGGGTTTAGGGTTTAGGGTTTAGGGTTTAGGGTTTTTAGGGTTTAGGGTTTATGGTTGAGGGTTGAGGGTTCAGGGTTCAGGGTTCAGGGTTCAGGGTTCAGGATTTACCTTAATGACAAATGTAGCAATTAACTAATATTAATATGACAAATGTAACAATTAACTACTTTAACTAATATTAATATGACAAATATAAAAATTTACTAGTTCTTTTTACCTTAATGACAAATGTAGCAATTAACTAATATTAATATGACAAATGTAACAATTAACTACTTTAACTAATATTAATATGACAAATGTAAAAATGTACTACTTTTTTTACTTTAATGAGAAATGTAGCAATTAAATAAGTAACTACTTTAACTAATGTTAAATAAGAAATGATATGTAACAAGTAACTATTTTTTTTCTTTAAAGAGAAATGTAGAGAAATGTAACAATTAACTAATTTAATAGATAAATGAAAGGTCTAACAATTAACTACTTTTATGAAATGTATGAATGTGTATAAGTCTATATACTTTATATAACTTGTAAATGTATTATAAGTAATATATAATATAATGTTTATAGTATATAATATATAAGTATATTACTATAAGATGAGTAATACACTTATACTTAATACTTTAATATATATATATATATATATATATATATATATATATATATATATATATATATATATATATAATAGAGATCAAATACAAAGTCTTCTTAATTTACAAAGTACAAACTCATCTTGACCGTCCGATGAGTTGATCCAAAGGACATAAAGGCAAGGTGACATTTTTGTAATAAAACCCAACTTTTTAGGGTGCAACTCGTTGCACCTTAATGTGGAACTGTTATTTTTATGACTTTATAATGTGCAATACTTTGAACCTCAATATGCAATGCAAATAACGTCAAGGTGCATCGTACAAATATTTGCACAATAAGCACACTTTGTACTTGATCTTTCTCCTATATATATGTATATGTATATATAAGTATATATTGAGTAAATGTAATATGTAAATATAAGTAATAAGAATAGTATGGATAAAAGCTAAATATCAAATAAATATGAATGTGTATAAGTCTATATAGTATATATAATGTATAAATATATTATAAGTAATATATAATATAATGTTTATAGTATATAATATATAAGTATATTACTATAAGATGAGTAATACACTTATACTTAATACTTATATATATATATATATATATATATATATATATATATATATATATATATATATATATATATATGAAAATGTTCAAGTAAGGTAGGCCTAAGAATTGAAATTCTTAGGCCTCTTTCATTTGAGGTGCTTCCGGGATATATTTTTTGATGAAATTTTGTGAGCATGTTCTCCATGAAGTGTTGACTATGCCCACCAAATTTCAGAATAACATTCAATCGGGAAGTCGGTTAAATAATTTTTTCAAAATTGTGCATGTTTTTACATATATAAAATGCAGTTTTTTTTCAATAATTTATTTAAACGACTTCCCGATTGAATTTTATTCTGAAACTTGGTGGACATAATCTTCAATCCATGGAGAACATGCTCACAAAATTTCATCAAAAAATTCGACCCAGAAGCACCTCAAATGAAAGAGGCCTAAGAATTATAATTCTTAGGCTTGCCTTACCTTAGCATTACCCTATATATATATATATATATATATATATATATATATATATATATATTTAGGATCAAATGAGAACAACCCTTAACGTGAGAACGTGAGAACACCACATTTACCCAAATGTGATGCACAATGAGGCTCGCCCAATGCACATTTTCGCGTTCGGCACAGTATTTACTAAAATGCCACCGTCATTATTTATATAGGCTTATTTTGAGCTAAACCCAAATGTGCACCTGACGGGCTCAATTGTGTATCACGCTGGGTTAATTGTGAGTGTTCTCACGTTCTCACGTTAAGCATCGTTCTCACTGGAACCGCACCCTATATATATATATATATATATATATATAAAGTATATATTAAGTAAATGTAATATATAAATATAAGTAAATAACAATAGTATGGATAATAACAAAATATCAAGTATATATGAATGTGTATAACTATATATAGTATGTATAAATAATATAATGTGTAAAGAATTATAATATGAATGTGTATAAGTAAATATTTATATATAATTATTATATATAAGTAGATATAATAATTATATAAAATATATATATGTAGAAAGAATTTGGAGAAGATGAAGAATAAAGATGATTGAATATGAGAGATTGAGAGAATAGGGAATTAGAGAGTAGGAAGAGTTGTAGACTTGTAGAAGAAGAAGTGTAAAAAATGTATAGAAAATAGGAGTATAAATAGTTTTTTTTTGTATACCCCACCCCCCACCCCCCTAACCCCCCAGGGCCCAGACCCCCCTCCTATGCTCCCAACAGCTATAGAGCCGTTTGGGAGCTCCATAACGGCTAAAAAGCCTTTAAAAAATAAAAAAAAAATTAAAATCTGCCCGTTGGAGGCCCGGCCCGGCCGGTTCACGTTTCAGCAGGCCCGAGCCCAGACCGCCTTCCCACCGGGCCGGGTGGCCCGAACCGGTTCACGAACCGCTTGACCGGGCCGGTCCAGTTCCGGGCCGGTTGGCCCGACCCGAGTCCACCCCTAATTGCAACAAACACATGCTATTAAACGAACAAGTACTTTTAAACTAAACACAAGCACGAGTTTACAAGGCTTGGTGAAAAAAACAAAAATATAAAATGCAATGTTTGATAAAAAGAAGACAACTAAAAATTCATCAGTAGCATTTCTAATAGCGTTTCAAAGGGTCAAATAGTCCTCCAAATTGGAACATCGAGTGGCCACATTCTGCCCCACCTCGGCCAAGCTCGGTTCATTATAGAACCAGTGAATAGCATTTAGAGGGGCATGTGCACCTAATGCACGAACACCAGTAAAGCTATTGGGAACAAGACCCGGAGGTGGGGCATGTCCAACCGGGAATACCCCATTTGGAGGTAAAGCGAACTGAAAAGAAGGTGGGGGAAAAGGATTTGGGTGCCCTGGAACTGTTTTGACTACAGCACGAAGTAGTCTTTGAGGACTATCAGTCAATTTGGTGTTGTATGTGCGCGCCAAACCCGCAGCCATCCGTGCATCAACTTGGGTCAACTGCTGCTGCATATCCTGCATCTGCTGCTGCATCTGCATCTGCTGCTGCATCTGCTGCTGCATTTCCTGCATCTGCTGCTGCATATCCTGCATCTGCTGCTACATCTGCTGCTGCATATCCTGCACTATGCCAGTGAGCCCTTGCATTTGACCTGTGATCAGAGCTAACCCTTGTGCGACTTGATTTGTTAGGTTGTTCAAAGCATTCGCCAAAATATTCCACTCAGTGTCTTCCGCAACAACCTCCTCGGGCGTTGGAATATGTGCTGGTGGTATAGCAGGAGCGCAGAGAGGAATGCATTGCGTGACAAAAATATTCCCAAAAGGTGCCTTAGCAGGAGCCATGTGTGCTGCAAAAATTAGAAAACAACAAGGACATTAACAACAGAAAATAAAGGACATTAAAAATACATCTTAAACTATGTATTGTTAGTGAACTCACATCTGCTAACTGCTTAAGAGCGGACGCGAGAACAAATCTATATATATTAAAACAGAAAAGTGTGAGAGGGAGTGTGGGGGGAGTTTGGGAGGGAAAATGGGGCGGCAGTGTGATTTCAAAATTCAAAACCAGGGCAAGTATAACAGGTGCTTTAATTTTCACGAGTAGCATTAAATGTATAATAATAGGTACTTTGAACGAGTAGCATTAAATGTATAGAAAAGTATTACCGCCGAGAAATGAGGAGTCTTTTATGGAAAGACTCCTAATACCACTTTTCATAATCCAGTTTAATAAACAATGAATAAATAACTGGGCGGCAAATTAATTAGGGCTTTCACGCTCTACTAAGTGTTGTTTATTATTCTGATGGAAACACCTCTGTTGTTATTACTCCTTTAAATATGAAACTTTTATAGAACAAATTGATCACAGATGAGCACCCTCTTGGCCTCTTGCGCAAGAATCCAACAAGTGTATCTACGTTCACTAGAGACTAGAGATCAGAGTATAGTAACGTAGACCCCCCTGCAGAATGAATACCCATTTATAAAATAGGGAACAACAGAAGAGGTAATAACCCAGTTTTCATATATACCTATGTAAATCATAGTATGTAATACTCCATACAAACATTGAAAGATTTTAATGTTATTTTCTTTATAGTGTGAATTCTAGCAAGTAGTGTATCCTTTAATTCTTTCTGGAACATTTGAAAATCATAATTCACCATTTTATCTTTTTCTTTGGTCAGCCATATCTTGAGAGCCTTTCCAGATGGGTCAGTTGTACG